TGTCTTCCCATTCTCCAATCAGTTTCTTACATTTTATCTGAATGTTCCCTTAGCAATCAATTGATCTCTCAAAATTTCATTCTCTTATTTTCAAAATTCTACTTTTAAGTTGCTCTAACAGTATTTCATTCCCCAGTTTTTCGTTATACCATAAAAAAATTAATTTAATTACTCAAATGGGAGGGGTCAACCGCTCAAATCAATTTGTCATATTTGTTTGCTGTTGTATTGAGTACAGCATGGCGAATGATGATGAAATGTTGTCTCACCCGTTAAGATATGAAATATTATGGAGAATGACGCACGTACCATCATTATGCAACAAAGAACCATTTAAATTTATGAAACATTTTTACCTTTAAATTTTAAATTTACCTGTGCAGTTTTTCCTGAAGTTTAATACAATGTCGTTGTTTAAAGCTTGTCAGATATCGTCGCAGAAACATTAGGGGGAAGAAAGAGGAAATAGGAGAGTAGGTAAATGAAAACATTAAGCTCTCTATAAGGTGCTAAAAGATCGCCTTAGTTTAGTAATAAGAGCGCAAGTTAATAGTGGCACACTACCCACTGTCTCATGCCATTGCATTACTTATTTGTTCTAGCAAATAAGGAAATAAAGTATTGGGGTTTAATTTAACCTAATTTAATTTAAAAGATATAATTATATCTTTTGAACTGATAGTCTATTTCAATCAAATTTAAAATTGCAAAGTTGACATTTTGCTAGAAGTAATAGCCACTCATGTCATATTTACTCTTTCATATTGTTTACAAGCGACACTGCAGAAACTGTCGTTCACCGATCGTAAGAGGAACGAAAAGAATATTCTTCTTCCTTCTATTTTTACACTCACTTTTCTTTTTGTTTTTATTTTGTTTGTTAATTTTGTTATGAATTGATTCATCAATAAATTGAAGCAGTTTATTATTTTGAAAAACTATGGATCAATTAATGTGAACTATAAAATAATAGCTAAACAATATTTTTCAATGTTGCCAAAAGCCTTTCGTAATTATTAGATCTCAAAGTAAATTTAATTCCCTAATACGTCAAACAGTGTCATTTCTAGGGACTTATCGTTATGCAAGTTTTTTCCTCTACTTTTCAAACCAATTTTGAACTTCGAAGCAAAGTAAACAAACTTTGATTTTGAATCATTTCAATTTCATAAATAATACAACGCACATCTCCAAATTGAAAAATTATGTGTTAATTTACTCAACGTATGTCGAAAATTTTTGATATTCATGAACTGAATATGAGCAATAAATCAATAAGTTTGAATCAGTTCTTTTCGTTATGAAAAAATGAAATCTTTATCCATTCATATTTTTGGTCCTAGCAATTATTCGTTATGCTCTGAAATTCAAATATTTTTTTTTTGAAATAACAGTTCATGGTTCACTTATTATCAAATAAATGAGATTTTTTTTCAAATTAAAATAATCTGTTATGAGAACTTCATTTTACTTATTTGAAAAATTTGAACTCAATTTTTGTCATGATTTCATTTGCAAGCTTAAAATCCCAGAAATATGTTGCTAGAGGGAGATATTAATTTTAGGTTATCAAGACAAAATTTCGAAAAATGGGGTTGGTATTTCATTCCCATCAAAAATTGTTACTATCAATCAAATGATGCTTTCTGAAGTTTTTTGAAATCTATAGGCCCAACGAATTTTCATTAATGACCTCGTGATGATTAAAAATCGAACGAATTAAAGAGCTTGTAACAACTTGTAACAACTGATGTAAATAAAAAAAATTTTTAAATGTCATGAAAAGCATAACTGCCCGAAATGTTCAATATTTTAACAAAAGTCTTAAACAATTAAATCGGTTCTCTTCTTGACATTTGTTCCAATGAATCAAACTGTAGGTTCAATTAATTCTCATTTAATTAGACCGATGATAACAGCTGTTTTTGATTCAGTTTTTCCATTAGTTAAGTCCCGTAGTAAGAATAAATAGTAGAAATCATTCATTTTACACAAAGAGATAGTAATGTAAATAATAGTCTATACCAATTTTGTTCATAATTTATGCCAAAAAAAAAACCCTTTCTGTGGATTTTGAAACTTCCTAATAAAAGACTGACTAACTACTAATATTTTGCTAAATTTTGTTTATTAAGAATAAGAAAAACACCTTCCATTTCTTCATTCCTTTAATACTTTTTTTTTCAACTTAAAAAGGTCACCTTGTCGGAAATTTAACGAAATATGATTACTTAAATTAATTATTTATACCAATTAATTACTTGCCCATTCAATCTGCAATTATTTGAATGCAAATTCAAAGCCTTCTTTACGCAAAATTTTGAGAGAAGTTGGCGCTGTTTTTCTTTTTCTAACCTTCCCACTTTACCATCTTCAGCTGATTTATTTATTCATTTTAGATTTCATTATTTCTTCATATTCTTTGTTAGGATTCAATGAGCAATGTACAAAGGAATAGCAACTTCAAAAAGTTCGTAACAAATGACGTTTGTAAAGCAGAGATGTTGCATCAGTTAATTCTCTTCGTTAAGATTTTAATTCTAAATATTTGTGATAAATTCAAATCATTTCCAAGTTTGCTTCATATTTTTTAAATTCCACTTCACCTTCCGCGTAGTTTTAGCTTGTTTTATAGTCACACTTCAGGATCAAATTCTATCATCAAGTTGAAAGCAATGTTCGGGGACTTTATGAAGTCCCATTATTTTGGATTTAAGAAAATATTTTTTGCTAATATTCGATCAGTTGGTTAATTGCTTCTGATATCGATTCGTCCGTGATATCTACAGTTGTTCGTTTGTGTATCAATGAATTCATCTTTTTCTTAATATTTCAAGAGGGGAGACCTCCCTCGCTTATTTTTGTCTGACTGATTCTGAAGATAAGCAACGATATGAAGCGGAAAAGAAAAAATAGAAGAGAAATAAGGCTGAAGAAGATCGAAGGCAATAGTTTCCTTTTTTCTTCTCCCTCCATCATACTTTGTTTTAAGCTGTTAATTTTGATTTAACTTAATTTTATTATAGAGCACTTTTTCTTCTAGATGGAGAAATGTATTTTTATAAATACTTTTATATCTTTTATATACTTTTAGATGATGCAGCTGTTTAGATTGACTTCATCTTTTTCGATGTATCGTGGAATTTTGAATCTCTATTCTCTTTTTTTCTCTTGCAAGATATGGATCTGAGAAAAGATAAACACTACCAAACAAGATTTTCACTCGAAAATTTTTTTTTCAGATGAAATTCGCATGAACCTTTCTAAGAAAAAAAAACTGGGATTTGGAATATATTTTACATACAACTAATTGTTACTGAGGCAGAAAAGGCAAAATTCTCTAATGAAAAAGTGCGTCGTATACGTCACGTACGTCACAATACTGTCTGATCTATTTCTTTTTTTTTGTATTCCTTTGTTAGTCAGAAGAAACTTTAGCGTTTCCAGAAACTTCTGGAATACTGAAATTAAAATGAAGAAGGAAATCAAGAAATGGGGACACTATAGCAACTTAATTATTTCAAGAACCCAATTGTCGTGACAAAAATTAAGAGAATTAGGAGATGAGGACTATTGTTCTTGTTAGTAATAAAGCAATTATGTTTTATAAAAAAGTGACTTAATGAATACTGATTGGTTATGTGTTTGAGGAGTATAATAGTTACCCTTTATTGTTGTTCAAATAACATATACAATAAATATAGGTTAGAACTAATTTCGATTATAGTAGAATGGAGTCCAAATTAATTACGTAGAATAACGGGAGAAATATTGAAGTAGCAATTCGTAAACGGAGAGGAAATAAATCAGGATTGCACTGAGTAGAGTTGAATGGCGACGTGGAGAAAATTAACACTGGATCTTGTTAAAGTTCGTAGGGTTTATATATGGGATGTGTGAAGAGGAACAATCATTACATATTGACAGTATTCTCACAGGTGCAAGAGAAATTTACATATAAGAACAGTTTTCTTTAGAAAAAATTGCATAGAAATTATTTTATCTGATGTACAACTTTCTCACCATTGTATCAAGATTTTTTTGCATGGGATAAA